TAGATCATCTCTATAAATTTACCTTCAAGTCCACTGATCCTTTCTCCTGCAGCTCAAATCTATTGTTGAGCCACTCTAGTGAACTTTTTACTTCAGGTATTGTGCTTTTCAACTCCAGAATTTTTACTTGGTTGTTTTTATAATTTCTCTCTCTCTATTGATAGGTGTGATTCCCACATGTCCAACACCTAATGCAATGGTGTATTTCTTCCCTACATATATGTATAACAGTAACAATATTGTACCCAGCAGTAATAGCAGTACAACTCCATTCAGGTACCCAGACCTGATTCCAGTGTGTGTAAATATGTGGGAGGGGGTCTTCCCACACAAACTTACACCAAGCAATTCTCAAACACCAGCACGGTGTTGGAGAACTCAACTTAATTCTGATGCTATCTGTCTGGAGACAGCACCAGATTCCCAGGTTAAGGGCTCCGTCCTACAAGACTGCCTTCCACCCCTCACTCAAGACACTGGTCATAAGCCCCAGGGAGTTCTCTGTGCTGACCTACCAGTTACAGATTGGATGTTCCCACGACCTCCCCCTTAGGTCCGATTAATTTGCTAGAGTGGCTCATAGAACTCAGGAAAACACTTAACGTTTACCAGCTTAATAAAGGATGTCATAAAGGCTACAAGTTAACAGCCAGATGAAGAAATATACAGGACAAGGTCCCAAATAAAGGAGCTTTTATCCTCATGGAGCTTGGGGCCTGGCTGCCATGTGGAGACATTCTGGTTCCCCAGTCATAGAGACTCTCGCTGACCGAGAAGCAGGTCCAACCGAGCAGGGCAGGCAGAACACAGCAGAGAGAGACAGCAGAGACTTCGGCAAGACTGCTGGTTTTCAAGACTACTGTGGACCTGGGGTAAGAGGGATGGGAGTTAAAATTAAAACCCCTCTGTTCTTGCCAAAGTTGAGTAGTTTCTCTTGGATAAACCCTCTTCAGATTGTTAGCCTTTGGTTAATACCCAAAGCTCTGGAAAAGCTGATTTTTACAATCTTGCCAATACTTTTGTTGCTTTTCTGGAGGAATGGATTTACAGAAGTCCTTACTCCACCATCCCAGAAATCCCACCTCAGATTAGAGATAATTTCTAAGATTAGGTTTGCCTGGGTGTTAATTGATAAGGAGGTGTTCGCTGGGAATAGGATTAAAGTACTGCCCTGGACATGGAAGAATCTGAGTTTAAACTCTTAAAAGATGAAAAAACTTGTTTTAGGATCCATAGGAATCATTCCAAATTATTGTGGTGATGTGGTGGTCCTTGGTAAAAGTCAGTGGGCTGTTAGGATCCATACCTGGCCCCACTGATCCCTTGGGGGCTTCCTCTGGGAGATGTGCCTTTTCCAGGGGAAGGGAGCTGCCATATTTTTAATACTTCCTCTAAGCTACAAGTTTCATACTCACTACCTTCTCACCTTACCAGCAAGAAAATGATCTTATTTCCACTTTACAGATGAAGAAACCGAGGCTCACAGAAGTTAAGTCACATGATCAAGGTTAGAACATTCTTAGGTGGAGCAGATGCAATCCTACTCCAGAGTGAAAGCTACTCTGATGCCCTCAAACCCAGCGTCCTGACCCTTTGGCTGGGCAGGGAGGCAGTCTGTGGAGTCGCCCATCATTAATTTTGAGCACAGTAGGTTGGAACCCCCCTTTTAACCCTCTACCCCAGGCAACACCTCCCCACCAGTCAGAGAGCAAGAAACAAGAGCTAAGTAATAGGTATGGCTTGACCCGTCATAAACCCATGCTGACGTCGGTTCTCAGGTCAGCTCTTCCCTTCAGTCAGGAGCCAGATCCCAAAATAAGCATCCCTCTCCCTACCCTCAAATCGAGGGTGGCAAGAGCAAAGCCTGGTTGTGACTTCAGGGCTGGGAGCCTAGGACTATCCCTCTCCGTGCCTAGCAAAATGAGTCCACTGGCTTGAGTGCACAGAGCTCCACCCAGTCTACTGCAAGCCCAGAGTATGTCTATTGGGGACAGGAGGGCATGTTCCAAATGCCTCAGTATCCTGACCAGCCCAAGCTCCTCCCACTCCCACTGACTGCAACAAAGGGGACATATTCTTTAAAGTTTGTCTTTTACAATGATTTTTTATTTCAACATTTCAGAAATTGGCAATGAAATAAACACAGTGACCACAGTGAACTCATATGTGTTGAATCATCCTCAGATGCATGATCTCACTGGGACCTCACAGACACCCAGCAAGGCAGGCAGGTGGTTAACAACGGATCCACTTTATGGAGGTCTTATTGGCAGGACCAGCTTCCGCACGGCACTGTTAACATTCCACCCAGATGCCTCCCTGCATCTGGTTCAGACTTCTCAATACCTCAGGGTGGGCAGGGCTTCCAACAGACACACAGATATTCTTAACTTCCTCTGCTGTAAACCCAGAGGCCGGGTCTCCCCATCTCTGAACAAAGGCCCTTCTCATTGACACTCATGGGTTCTTGACTCTGAGCACCATGGGACTTATGTATACCAGGACTGCTAGGCCTGCAGTGGCCATCCAAAAGCACTGACAGGGCCCAAATGAACCTGGAGCTAAGCAGAGGGACCAGAAGTCCCCTGGCCCATCACTGAGCCACTTTCTACAGCTACGCTCCCCATTAGAGAGACAGTTTGGGTATGGGCAGAAAGAGAGGCTCCTCTCAGCTCCACTGGCCCCAGCCTGGTGGGGATGGGGGATCACCACCTCCCTCTTGCTGCTGAGATTATTGCTGACCAGCCTTTCTGACTTTCTGAGTGCACCTCCTCCTTCTGCCGGAGCCGAGCTCAGAGCTAGGCCCAATCTGCCACCCCCACCGGGAGGCCTTTGCCAGTCCGCAGAGCAGGACGGTTTCATGCAGAGGTCACCCTCTTAATACCACAGCGACACACAGGGCATTTGGCTGTGTCCCAGAAGACTCGCCAGGCGCAGGAGCTGCAGAAGAGTGTGTGACCACAGGGCACAAGGCAGCTGTTGGCAGCACGGTGGAAGCAGATGGCACACTCTCCTCCTGCTGTGTCTGGGAAAAGAGACAGCCCATGATGGGGGTGCATGGGGCAAGGGGTGGGCAGCCTACTGGAGGACAGAGAACTACACAGTCATATTCTGAAGACTATTATGTCATGAGAAAATGCTCACAATGAAAATAGTACTAAGATAACCATAATGTACATACATATATTTCATAAAATTCCAATTTAGAAAAAAGGAAAACAAAGCATAATCAAGTCTCCATATATGTATATATATATATATATATATATATATATGACCACAAAATACTGGGAGGAAATCCACCTTGGAGTTAATGGATGATTTTGGTGTTTTTTTTTTTTTCTTCCTTCTTTATCCTTTAATGTTTATTTTATTTTATTTTTGGAAAAGCTTTTACTATGAACATGAATTGCTTGTTAAAGCAAGAATAAAATAATGTTATCTGTTCATGAATGTGCTCTTGTAACTTGTAAAGTCAGCCAATGTTCTAGAAGGCAGAGCTATTCATTTCCTTTTAGGTTTCCAGCAACAGAGCCAAATCTTGGGGCGTGAAGCCTGTGGGAGGCTTGATGGGAATCCGAAAGACTTTACTGAGTTCCTAAGGCTGGGACTCCCTCTGGCACCCTGGTTCTGGAGTCCTGGGAAGTCGGTGTGCCCCAGGAAGCCACTCACCTTCAAGCTCAGACACAAGGTCAACATAGAGGTCCCACGGCGTGGTTGTGCTGAAGGTGCCGCCTGTGGGGAAGGCGCTGGCTGTGGGGTCTAAGGCAGAGAGGGAAACTCAGGGTTCAGGGAGCAAAATCAGGGTGCTCCCTCCCCACTGAGCCCCTGGGGCAGTGTCCACCTCCTTAATTTTCTGGGTTTCAGTGCTAGAGTTCCCATCTAATCTTAGGGCCCTCTCTTCACCATCCCTTCCCCAGGTTAGCCAAGCAGAGAATTTGTGGGTTATAGACTCTCTTTCCCAAACTGCCCTTCCTTTAGACATCTCCTCTCTGTCTTCCTACTATTACCTAAATAGAGACCCTCAGTGTTACCTGCACGTGCATGAAAATCCACCGGGAGGCAAGCAAACAGCGCATGGGCCCACTCCAGACCTGCCAGGTTAGGTGTTCTAGGGGAGAGGCTCCAGCAGCTGTGACACATGGTTTTTAAAGCCACGGTGCCTGGTGGGGAATGGACGGCTTGTGTGCAGGCCCATGGGCCACCAGCACAGGGGCACCAGTCTCTTTTCAATGTGTTCCTGAATCTACTCACTCCCCCCAAATCCACTCTCATTTCAGGTGTCGAGAGAGTTGTTTCCCCACCGCCTGACTGAACTCAGGCATCCTGTCTCCAGTGAACTACTTAGAAAGCTCAGCTTCCAAATTTCTCCCTTTATGAAACGTGATTGGCTCTTTAACAGATGTTTGGGGTGCTAGTCATTATCTTATCATTCTTTAGGGACAAGGTGCCCTCCTTATGCCTGGGACTTGTCCCTCTGGAGTCCCCAGAGCCATCTTCATATCTGACACTGGGCAGGAGCTCATGAAATGAACGAATGAACATTTCCCCCCGTGGCTCTGGGCAGGGGCAGAGTTGCACCCGAGCCTCTCCCACAGGGGCGGTGTCTGGTTCCCGCGGGGTGCCTCACCCAGCAGCTGGATGGCCTTGGTGGTTCCGTACACGTCCATCACGGCCCAGAGCGGGGCGCCCATGCGCACGCCCTTGCGCAGCAGGAGCTGGGGACCCGCGTTGATATTGGCGAAGAGCCAGCCGCTGCGGTTCACCCAGAAGCGGATCACGTTCCCCGGGAACACCCAGTGGTTGGGCAGCACGGCCGCCCACGTCGGGCTCAGCTGCTCCAGGTCCGGGCACAAGAAGGGCGGCAGGCTGAGCGCAGGCACGCGCGCGGGGTCCAGGCGCGTGAAGCCCACGCGGAGGCCGCCGCACCAGCAGTCCTCGTACCACAGTACGCGCAGCGCCACACGCTCGTCGGGCTGCAGCGGCCGCTGGCTGAACACGATGCCATCGTGGAAGGTGGAGCGCCGGCGTGCAATGCAGTGCAGCGCTTCCAGCTGCACCTGCGCGCCCTTGGCTTTAGCGTGGAAGCGAAGTGTCTCTCGAGGCGCCTCGGCTTCTGCGGAGGGTGGGGTAGTAGGTGAGTGCTGACCCGGCCCCACCGGCTCCCCACGAGGCTCCCTCCTTGACCCTTCCTGGGGTGGGGGTCATTTCTACCATCACCAGCATCCCGGGGCCACTGTCCGCCCTGGCCCTCATCCCTGGGACCCCAGAGACCTGCCTAGAGCCGGGTGAGGAACGTTCTTCGCCTGTCTGAGTCCTGAGTTTCCTCACGGAGTCTCCCTCCCAAGCCTCTGTGCCCCTCCTGCAGGGATATTGTCAAAATGAAGGGAATGGATACCTGTACTGATCCTAATATCCTGTAATGGTTTTTGTCATTAAATAGAAAGAGCAGGTTGTAGAAAGTAGATGTAATATGATTCTGGTTTTGTTGGACACGGGTATCTATATATTTAACATGTACATGCATATTCCATCTGCAATAGCCCGAAAGAAAATAGCTCTGCTGATTGTGCTGGGCGCTGGAGGCCAGTCCCCGTGATTTTCCCACAGAGAACCTGCATCACTTGTCAAGCCCACAGCCTCCAGTGAGGGTGACTTTCTTGTTCTGGGAGAGAAAGGGGCTTGTTGGCTTCCCATGGGGTGGAGATGGGGGGAGGCTGGAAAGGGGAGGTCCCAGGTCAGCCCCTCAGAATCATGGGCTGGGCCCAGCCAAGGTCCAGAGGTGGGCTTTGAAATTAGGGGACTTCCTGACCTGATTCCACTTGGCAGCCAGGCAGGGAAAGTTCCTTACTGGGCAGCCCTTCCTTCCAACCCCCAGGCCTCTGGGAGGCCTGGAGGAAACTGGTGAGGAAGCTGCTGAGCTTCCTGCCTGAGGACTGCTCTTAGCCAGCTCCCCAGACCTCATCACTCACCCTTCCCCCATTCCGGCCCAGCTTTTACTGGGTTGGAGGAGGGAGGCTGGAAAGAAAAAGGTGTGAATTCAATCAGAACTTGAGCCTGACCCCAGCCTGGGGGGGAGCAAGTCCCCTCCCCTCCCAGATCTCATTAGTTTTCCCTGGGCCCCTGTCTCTGATGACTCACAGGCCCTCAATAAGCCAGCAGGGCACATGCTAGGGAGGGTCAACCTGGTCAGGCACGGGGGATACTCTCGAAGTCACCGTGGATCTGTCCTTGATGGACTCAGACCAAAGACAAGCCTACTGTGGTTCCCTCTCCTGAGGCATCAGGGACAAGCCCTCACCCTGGCCTTGGAGGCCTCCGAACTTGCCCTCACAGGGCTCTGCTATCCAAGCTCACCCCGCCCTCACCTGAGCTCTGCCCATATTGCCAACCCTTCCCAGAATATGCTCACCCCTCCTCCCTGACAGGCCTGCCCAGACCCCCATTCCTGTTCCTTCCGGCTGTGCACAGGCTGGGGGAAGTCCCTGCGTAGACAGATGGTGACCAGGAGCCAGAGTCAAGGCCCGACATCGGATGGACCTTTGTGCTTACTGCAGGGTCCCTGAGAGGCTCGGTGCAAGGCAAGCAGGTCTGACACCCAGATTCTAACCCCAGCTCTGCGGCTGCCCGAGGCAAGCGACTGCCCCTGTGGCTCTAGGGTCTCCTGACCCACAGATGGGACTGATATGCCTGCCCAGCCAATGCCTGGAGTCTCAGGTACCTGCCTGAGAGTCCTGAATGTGAGGAGCTCACTGCCCAGTGGGCAGGCGTCAGGCAATGTCTGATGCCTTCCTCCCACCCTGACAGGTGGATTCAAATCAGAGACTCTTTGCCTCGAGGCTCTTAGAATCCAAGTGATTTAGGGTTAGCACCCTGCTCATCCCCATCTTCATCACTGCCCCTCCAGCCACCAAGCCTCCCCAGGTGCCAGGCACCTCCTAAACCCTTACAACCTCTTTTACTCCCCCCCACCATCTTGTACTCAGAGGAAACTGAGCGGGTCGGGGGGATGAAGTTGCTGCAGCTGCAAGTGGAGGAGCTTGCCCAGCTCCTCGCCCTGCTCTCCTGTACTGCCTCCTTCATGGCACCACCATCGCCTGGAATCCACACACGGTCACCACAGTAGTGGCAGCCAAGGCGGCCTGGTTCCTCCCCCAAGCCCCAGGCCCTGGGTGCCACCTGCTGCTGCTGGTGTGTGAGCCTTCAGTGCTGCTAGGGGGCCAAGGCCGAGGCTTCAGGCTCTTTGCCTGGGCAGAAGCAGGGTCCAGAGATGCAGTCTGGATCCCTGGTGGTGAAAGATGGTGTCCCCCCACCTCCCATAAGGGAAAGCTGCGGTCTCACGTGACACTCACAGACAGCTATTGTGCCTCAGGTGGCCTTTTGGTCTGTGCTCCTGGCAGCCCTGTATGCCAACAGGGTGGCTTGCACTGGCCCTGGCCTGTGGATGAGGAAACTGAGGCCCTAGGGGAAAGTGACTTGCCCAAGGTCCCGTGGATCCCTCTGCTTCTTGCATCCCCAGTCCAGGAACCAAGCTCAGGGCCCCCACTTACCAGCGGGGGAGGAGAGCCAGGCACCCATCAGCCAGGGGTCCTCAGGCACAGGTCCCTGAGTCTGGAAGGAATTGGCAGCAGAAGGCCAGTGGACAGGTTTCCAAAGATTCAGCAGGTCCCCTTATTATGGGCAGGGATCATGTTACATAGTTGATGATTAATTAGATGTTGCTGTCACGGGTTACAATATCTAGGGAATTTCCTGATGATTTCTCCTGGCTCACTGCACACCTACTGCAGCTGGCTGGCCCCGTGGGAAGCAGGGACTGAAGAGATGGCCTGGGTAGGTTTTAGGGTAGACTTCTCTCAGTTGTTCACAGCCCGGCTGTGCATTATGATTGCCTGAGGCACATTAATAAATACCTCTACCCAGACCTGTCCCCAGAGACTGATTCCAGTGTGCTGGGTGGGGCCTGGCATCATTTAATTTTAAAAAGCACCTGGAATGATTCTAATGTACAGCTGGGGTGGAGATTCACTGCTCCAGACCCCGGCACACAGAAGGTGCTTACTCAATGTTGCCAAAGTAGTCTGAATTGAATTAGCTGCATGGAGGACCTGTGAAGCGGCCCAGCCTGGGTTTTCCAGCAAGAGGGGAATGGGGAGGCAGACAGGATGGGAGAGTATCTATTGCTCCCCTAGCTTTGCTGGAGCCAGAATTCCACTTTCAGAATCTACCACAAATGCAAATGGTCCCATAGGAGGTCATACCAAAGACCTGGCTCCCTGTATTGGGGCAAAGAAGTCAGAGATCTGCCCCATCCACTTCCATAGGGAACTGAGGCTGGTGGGGGCAAGTGGTTTGCTCCAGCCAGTGCTTCTCACTTTGCAACATGCAGGAATCTCCTGGGGATTTCATTAAAATGCAGATGATTCAGAAGGTCTGAGGGCCATGTCTGCTTTTTTAAGGATTCTGCTTTTCTAACACGGTACTTCTGTGGACCCCACTTTAGGTGGCAAGACCCTAGTTCATTTGGAGCTGGTAAGTACCTGGGCCCTCCACCTCCAGGCTAAGCCCTTCCCAAGACCCTGGATCAAGGCCATGATCGGTGACTACTCTGAACTCGGCTAAAGGGAGATTCCCCCCTCTATGAGAATTCCCCCACGCATATCCCTGGAGGGACTAGGACAGTGGTGCTATTGACTGAGCTGGGAGGAGGCAGGGTGGGAAAGGGGGGGGTTTGGAGACCCAGGTCCGGCATCCTGTGTTTCCTTGTCCCTCCTAACACCCCCTGGGTCCTTCCATGTGTACAACAGGAAGCCAGAATGAATTAGTCTGTGGGTCCCTTCCAGCCCTGACAGGCCGGGCTTTTGGTCTGGGCAATGGAGAGGCAACAGAACCTGGGCCCAGCTGACTTCAGAAGATAACTGCAACCTTGGACCTTCTCTTTCACACCTGCCCCTGCCAGGCTCCCTCAGTGTCTCCTTTAGAAGCAGCCTTCCCGAGGCCAAAGGCAAGCTGGCGAGAAGTCAACCACAATGCCAAGCAAGTCCAAGGTTCGTGGTCCTGCTGGCCCAGCCAGGTCCAGGCTCAGGGCATCCCTGTGTCTCTGGGCAGTACTAGGGCCCAGAGATCCCTCCTCCCCCTTCCTCTCCTGCAGATCCACCTGTATCTCTGACTACTCTGGGCGGTGGCCAGAAGGCTGGAGCTAAGGGCACCTGGTTGATAAACCATATTCCTATAAAAGAAGTAATTATGGAATCTTATCAGGGAAATTAGATCTCGAGCATCAGCCTGGGTGGAACATTACCAGGTAAGCTGACGACAGCAGGCTGAGGCGCTGAGGTCTCAAAGATGGGACCTCAGTGGCAGCGAGCACTCTGAGGAACTGAAATCCTGCCTTAGAGCTGACATCCATGGGACGGGTGTCCCAGGCAGAAACCCCATCACACATCCCCATTCTTGATTATTTGACAAACATGATTGTTCTAAGTCTAGTACTTGCTAATTAACTTGCTAATCCTATGGTGGCTTCTGCAAAATATTCTATTGTAACCATTCCCATTTTACAAATGGGGAAACTGAGGCACACACAAAGAAGTGAAGAGACTTGTTCACAATCACAAGGCAGTAAGTGGCAAAGAAGATGTGGCCCAGGCAGTCTGGCTTGACAGCTGGTACCTTAACTGCTGCACTGTGCCTCCTAAGACAGGCCACTTTGCACCCTTCTGAGTCCTTAGCTGTAATAACGTCCTGGCCATTTGACTGTGCTGACACACAGTAAGGGCTTTATGGATAGTTGCTGACTGGGCACCCCATGCTGGAGACTGCGCCCCTCCCTCTTGCTCCAGGCCACCACCTCAGCAAGGCTGTTGTAAATGTTTATTCCAGGAAGGGAGGGACTGGCCCTTTGGAGGAGGGCAGCTTCTGATGGTAACTGAGGCAGCCCCTGGTGGCTATATTCAGTACTGCAGGATGCACTGTGGTCCTCAAAGCTAAGAAGGGCGCCACCTGTTGGGGAGGTCCTGGGATGAGGCTTCTGAGGCCTTCTGACCCCTACCGTATTATACTTGCCCAAACTCAACTGCTCCCCCATAGGGCCAAAATTCGGAGGGCAAGGGGCTGCCATGCATGGAAACCAACCCATGGAACAATCAGGATGACGCACACAATAGGTGGTTGGCAAGGATCTGTGAGTGCAAAACAGTTCAGTGTGGCAGTTTCATTAAAAATTGCCCATCCACCTACCTATGATAGCAATTCCACTCTTGGGTGATACCCAACAGCCTTAGGTATGGATTTCCAAAAGACAGGTACATACATGATGTTCAGAGGAGTGTGATTCATGACAGCCCCAGACTAGAAACAACCCTAACATCCATTGTGCTGGATGCTCTGATGTGCTGCTCAGATCCTACTTGAGGAATGAAGCACATGGTCCCCCAGAGGCTAAAGTACTGCTCTCAAGTGTTTAACTGAGGTTCTTGTCACAAGTGCCCCGCAGTCCAGCTCTCCTGTCCGGTTCTATTTCCACAGGTGCTGATCCTGGAAATGCTCCCTAATAATTCTGTCTCAGGGGCTGCTCCCTAGGGAACCCAACCTCCAAGAGCCACCAACAGGAGAATGGAAAAGTGAACTGCGATGTAGTCACACCATGGAATGAATGCTCATGGCAATAAAAATGGACAAATCACTTTTATCCACAACAATTTGGTTAAACTCACTGATTTAATGCTGATGAAAGATAAGACCCAAACAGGACCCTCTGTGCTTCTGAAATATAAAAACTGGGTAAACGAATCTGTGGGGTTAGAAGTCAGGATGGTGCTCACTTTGGGAGTTGATTACCGGGAGGGGTACAAGGGAGTCTCTGGGTTGCTGGAAATGTCCTCTGTCTTGATTGGGTATTGTGTATACAGAGGGTGTGTATACATATGGAAAAATCCATCCAGCCCAAATCGCATGTCAGTTGCACCTTAATTTTATTTTGGCTAAATTCCCTTTCATCCCTAAAGCTGTTCTGAGAGAGCTGATGAACGATGGAGCACCCACCTCCCTCCAAAAACCTGACCTTCCACCAGAGAGCTTGGTAGCACTGCCACCTGGTGGAGACAAATGGAATTGACTTCTGGTCAGATACCCAGGAGGGAAATAAATGGTCCCCCATCACAAAGGCTCCCACCTGTGTCCCCCACCCCACACTTGCTCTCCTTCCTGCCCACTTGCTTTCTGGCTATGAACTCCTAAAAACTCTGGGGGTTCACCAAATTCTCCAGGTCAATAGTTGGACCCCCATCCTGGGCCTTGGGGGCAAGAGGTCAGGATAGGGAGGCTGGGGTGTGCCAGCAAAGTAGCCATCCCCTAGTTAGGTCTGTGCTGTCACTTTCACACTGCTGCCCCGTTCAGATCTTCCTGGTCCCTGATTCTGCTCCGGGCTCCCGCAGCTCTTGTCCCACTAGCACTGGAGCACCCTCCACGGTGTGAGTGTGGAGCCTGCTAGAGAGGGGAACCGAGGGAGGGGAGCACTACTGGGGACCCCTGTGGCTGCTCAGAGGTAGGGGAGCTTAGAAGGGGGGAGGCAGGCTCTCTCCCTGTGCCCCCTAGTCCCACACACCTCTTACGGTGCCTGTCCTGGAAGACTGTGACACCTGCCCCAAGGGTGTTTTGTGTGTTACACAGGAATTTATCGAGTACTTACTACATACCAAGCGTGGCCTAATTTCTGGGTGAGCAGCGATTGAAGAAAACCCAATCTTTGTCCTTAGTCAATTCAAGTACACTCTGGTACTTAGGTAACTCCTATAAGAAATCCAGACTGAGGCCTGGGAAACCCATGGGTGCGGTAGGGGTCATTATGCCCAGGGAATGGATAAAGGTTCTGTGGAGTGACAGGTATAAAAATTGATCCCTGAAAATTAATTAAGCTTTCAACAGCAAGAAAGGCAAGAAGGGCATTCCAGGAAGAAGGAACTGCATATACAAAGACACAGAAATATAATTGTGCATGGTACTGTCTGGTTGTGTCAGTTAAGATTAGAATTGCATATAACAGAAAATCCAAAAGAATAATGGCTTAAACAGGAGGTATTTATTTCTTTTTCAAATAACTTGAAAACAGGCAGTCTAGGGTAACTGGTATTGACAGCTCTATTGCCACAGGGACCCAGGTTCTCTTGGCTTTTCTGCTCCACCATTCTAGCACTGGCCTCCATACTCAAGGTCACTTTATGGACCAAAAGAGTTGCTGGAGCTCCAGCTGGCACATCAGCATTCCAGGCACCAGGAAAGAGAAAGACCCCAAAGGGCATTCCTCTAAGTCAGTTTCCTATTAAGACAACTTACTGGAGGGCTTTTGTAGCACTTTCATTGATATTTCATTGGCCAGAAATTTGTCTGTGGCCACAACTAGTTGCAAGGGGAGCTGAGAAATGTAGTCTTATTGGGGGAGCAGTTAAAAAGTGGGATTCTGTTATTAAAGAAGGAGAAAATGGCTATTGGATAGGCAGCTAGCACTGTCCAGCCCAGTGGTAGAGTGAAGCAGTGGCCCTCCAGTCTGTAGAGAGGGGTGACAGTAAGGAACTAGATCACAAAGGTCAAAGGAGAATTTGGATTTTATTCTACAGAAAATAGGCAATCACTGAAGGATTATGAGCAGCAGCCTTGTATCAAAGGGCCAGGAGCAATCTGTTTGCGGAAAGACCTCACAGGTGGAATGACAGAAGTGAGGCAGGATGGAATGCGGCACTGTAGGAGAGCCAAAGCTTACCTGGTCCAGACGAGGGACACAGACCTGCAGAGAGCAAATGTGGGAGGGATACCATGAGCTCAGGATGTTTGAGTCTGGGCAGCTGCAAGTCATCAAGTCAGATGGCTCAAGGGCACCTGAGAATCGAAAAAGAAACTGCTTAGGTGAAAGGATAAGGCTGGGGGTATGGATCTGGGAGTCACCAGTTGTACAGTGTGGGCAAGACCAGCCAGGCAGTGGCACTGTTGTTGAGCTGGAGGAATCTGATGGACCTTCCAGAGTTTCTAGGCAAGGAGGACAATGCAGTGGGTAAGTGCACCAACTTTGGAGCCAGCCAGAGCTGGGCGTGAATCCTGACTTCACCACTTAATGGCTATGCACCCCTGAGTCAGCTGATTGCCCTTTCTGAGGCTTAGCTTTCTCATCTGCAAACTGGGAATGAAGTGACCTACCTTGAGGGCTGATAGGATGGAATGGGTGAGTGTTTAGCACAGGGAACTGCACTTGTCAGTAAATATCAGTTCTTCCCATTAAAGGGGTAACCCTCCCCTTATTGGAGGGGACCTCATGCCTTTCTTGGGGCCGTGGGTGTACCCTACAGTTTTCCCACAGTGGGTGGGACTCCAGAGCCCTGCGTGGCTCACTGGGGAGTAAATCACAGGCACAGTGCATCTCCAGGGTCCTGAGGGCCTCTGACACAGCATGGCCAGGCACCCCTGACTCGGCCAAATCTCATGGGCTGAGGCATCAAACCCAAGCTGGTGAATTGGGAGGGGAGATATGTATTTACCATGAGGCAGACTGACCAGAGGGTGACAGCCAGCCACATACTCCACAGAGGTGACTCTAGGGAGACTCAGCCCCATTTTGGAAGCTAAGAAAGACAGTTACTGGGACAGGAGGATAGGGTCTGGCCAGCCATCATGAGCAGAGAAGGGGTCCTCCTATGTCTGCATTGAGCCAGCCATGTAGCATGGACAGTGTCCAGCCATGGGGAAATGCCTGGCTAGAAGTCTGGGCACACAATACCTCCTTCAGCCCAGAAACCCAGCTTACCAGGCTTTGCATCCAGAAGGCCAGTCTCGCCCTTTTCCCGGTAATGACCCAAGAGTTTGGGGAAACCAACGTGTCAGGGACAAGCACAGGAATAAGGGCCCTCAAAGGACCCTGGAAAGGGACAGCAGAGACATCGGAGGTGCCAGGGGCATGGCATCCCAGAAGGTAAGGGTGGGCTGAGAGGGATGGCCTGGGAGCAGCCGGGCGAAGCTCAGCCAGGTGTTGGGTGGAAGAAGCCCTTGGGTGTGCCCAGGGGGAGGTCAGCAGTCGGGTGGAGACAAAGCTAGGGGAGGCTGCTGGAGAAGGAAGTCCGTGTGAATGCCTGGATCCCTCAGGCTGTGAGCAGCTACCGTTGGCAGGGGTTAGAAATGGTTGATTCCTTCCAGGAGCAAGTCTGGAGGGTGGGGAGCTCCACTCCACAGAGCCGTCTCTGCCAGGCCCCTTCCAAATTTGCTTGTCCTCACTGGGTGCCGCCGTCCTCCACGTGGCCCAGAGCGCTTCCAGCAGCGGGAGGAAGGGCCCAGGCAAGACAAGCACGCGGGGTCACAGGCCCCTTACTTCAGCTCGCATGCCATTGGCCAGAGCTCAGTCACGTGCCACCACGCCCAGCCGCAGGACTAAGAAACAGCCTTTACTCCGGAGCCCAGTGTCCAGCTAGAAACAGGCGTGCCCTTATTACGTGGGAGAAGGAGAGACAGATGTGGGAGGGGATGGGCAGTCGCAGGGCTACAGCCAGAGGGAGGCAGGGTGAGGGAGGAAGGCTTCGCCTGCAAATAGCGGGCAGTGTGCAGGGTTCAGGGCCTCACGTGTGGCCCCGGTGGGTGCGCCCTGTGCTCCACTGTGAGGTCCTGGGGGGCGGGACAGGTAAGGGAGTTGTGGTTGCTGAGAACTGGCTCAGTCAGCAGACAAACTAGTGACCTTTCCAACAGAATTTTTCAAGATTCCCTAGAGGTCCTTCTGGCGCTCCCCACCCCCACCCCCAAAGCCAAAATAGCACAGAGAGTAAGGAAATAGCTTCCCTCCACCCTGGAGCGTTTGGCCATTGTCACTGTGCCCAGTGCCAGAGCCATGGGCGCAGTCCTCAGGCAAGGAGTGGCCACCTCTTCGCTTCCCATGTCCCCTCCACTGCGGCTGAGAAGGGTCCTCAAATGTCCACATCAGCCCGGCTCTGGCCCATTCCCTCCTCTCTATCCATTTGAGCTTTAAGAGGCAGGGTAAGAACAGAACCATCCCCCAGGACTGGAGGGGTAACCACAGGGGTGTCTCTGCCCTTGTTGGGCTGCACGCCTATTGACCTCTGCTGCCTCTGTTCTTCAATGGCTCTGAAAACAAATGCTGGGATAGTGACCTTTCCAACAGAATTTTTCAAGATTCCCTAGAGGTCCTTCTGGCGCTCCCCACCCCCACCCCCAAAGCCAAAATAGCACAGAGAGTAAGGAAATAGCTTCCCTCCACCCTGGAGCGTTTGGCCATTGTCACTGTGCCCAGTGCCAGAGCCATGGGCGCAGTCCTCAGGCAAGGAGTGGCCACCTCTTCGCTTCCCATGTCCCCTCCACTGCGGCTGAGAAGGGTCCTCAAATGTCCACATCAGCCCGGCTCTGGCCCATTCCCTCCTCTCTATCCATTTGAGCTTTAAGAGGCAGGGTAAGAACAGAACCATCCCCCAGGACTGGAGGGGTAACCACAGGGGTGTCTCTGCCCTTGTTGGGCTGCACGCCTATTGACCTCTGCTGCCTCTGTTCTTCAATGGCTCTGAAAACAAATGCTGGGAAGAAGGAAGACAGTGTCCTCAGATTCTGTCTTAGCAGGTCTGCCGGCAGGCCCGAGTTTTGAGTGCCACACGAGCCTGTAGTTCGCCCCATGCCCTTCATGGACTCTCTCTCCACTTCTTCACGACGTCCCTGA